GCATGCCAAAGGCCGGCCTCCTGGTGACAGCCCTGAGCCTGATTCTCCTAGCAGGGGACCGGGTCCATGAGGAGAAAGTCTAGGAAGCACTCAGCAAGATAGGGGTATTTGCTGGGATAGAGCACTATGTCTATGGGGAGGCCAAGGGGCTGTTGACCCAAGTACGGGTGTGGGCAGGGTACCTGCAGTACTGTCAGGTGCCTTACAGCCACCCTGCTCACTACAAGTTCCTGTGGGGTCTCTGGGCCTATGCAGAGACCAGCAACCAGCAAGTCAAGGACTATCTGCACAGGGTCAATGCAAGGGGTCCCAGGTTCTTCCCATCCCAGCATGCAAAGGTGTGAGGGAGGAGGAAGAGGGGCCCTGAGCAAGAGCAGCAGCCTGGCTCCTTTCAGGCCCATGTCCAGCAGCTTGTCCTGGGGGCAGGAAGGGAGGCTGATCTGTGTTTGAAGAGGGAACATTCAGCCTTCTCAGTCGTGATGGCCTGGGCCAGTTGGGGAAACTGATAAGTAGCATCTTTGGCTTCCTGTTCTCTACAATGACAAGGAGATTCACTTCTGTTTCCTTTAGGAATTTTTCAAATGTTATTCCTTTTAATAGGAGGCTTAATGAGCTTCAGAGTCTAACTATGTCAGTAATGATGATCACAATGTGTTTGTGCTTACCCAGTTCAAGAACAAGAGTTTTTCCATTTCATAAAAGTGATTGTGAACATTTTCATTGTATTTTGTGACCCTGAACAAGATTACACGGAATTGGAATATAACTATTTTGGAAATATGATATTACTTAGTAAGAATTAATAAATAAAATATATTTGAGCTGAGTTCCTCTATACGTCTTGTCTGTCATTGTATACAGCTAAACTATCTCTGTTCAGTTGGATTTTTTCAAGTTATTATTTAAGAAATTACAAAAAGCCTGATCTGACTTAATAAGTGCCCCACTCTGGCTCATTTATTCCACAGACCTTCATGGAGTCTGTGCCCTGTGGAAGGCCCTGTGTTAGCAGTGGGGACACTAGGAGAAGCAGGACACCCCAACACCTAGACTGATGATCTAAGAGCTGCAGTCACATGAGGAAGGTGGAGAGACATCCCCTAGTTCCACAGAAGAGTGCAACAAGGGGCAGGGTCCAGGAGGAGCACTTGAGTGTCGGTGCCTGAGTCAGGGTGGTTTGGGGCTTTGGGAAACTGGGTTCATTCTGCAACAGGTGATGGTAATGAACCAGGGTGGTGGCAGCATCCAGAATTATACACAGTGTCTTATGAGTGAGAAGAAAATCTGAAATGGGACATACACATTAGAAGATCATCTTCTGTCCTAGATAAATTTCCTGGGGCAGGAAGGGAAGTTACATTATGATCAGGAACAGTGAGAAACCTGTTTATGCTGCTTGATCTAAGTACACCAAAAATTTTCAAAATGGGGAGGGGTGAGTGGACTTTGGTTTGATACACAGTCTATTCAGTCTTGGAGAATATACTTGAAGAAGTCTTGGTAAGTACCCCCAAACTTTTGATAGGATTTTAATGGAGTGTCTTATTTGAAACTGGTGCCTGTGCCCTTAAACTAATGGATCAGCTTTTCCAGGTGGTCAGGCCCTAAAGCCATAGATGAGGAGGGGTTATGGAAACCACAGTGGCAAAATCTGTACTGAACTTGAATCCACACACATCAGAACCCTCCTTGGAGGTGAAGAGTGCTGCATTGTGCACATCCTAGCTGGATTTTATAAAGAAAACTCCCACTGTCCTTGTCCTCTCACTGCCACTTGTCTGATACCTGCCGCTCATGAAGCTCATGGATGTTGGGGAGCCTAAGGGCACCTATGCAGGTGCTCAGGCAAGTTCCATCGTGTGGAGGCAGCCGGGACTTCTGGGGGGAGACTGTCCTGACATCCCGAGGCAGGGGCACATCCTCAGCCGGCTGAGACCGTGGGCGGGCATCACTGCAGAGGAAAGGGCAGAAAGAGCACTGGAGGGAGGCAGGGGGACCCTTCCCTGACATTCCCAAGAGACTTGGAAACTAAATCAAATCTTGCATTTGAAAGTGTCGATGATAGAGTGGTGACTAGAAATAGTTGGAGATTCAAGGCACATTTGGCTTTCCCAGAAACTCCTCAACACCCGAAAGGAATTGTGTTCATCACAAGCTATACCTACCTGCTGCTGCCTGTTGAGCACCAAATACACTGCAGGGCAGGGGAGAGACTCAAGGTCCTTATCCACATCTCTTCTCCCTCTGCTTCCTGGAAATTGCATGCAGGGAACATGGGATCCTAGGTAAACCTACAACAGTTGGGAATAAATACAAGATCAATTTACCAATTTAAATACAAAAACAGAAAAAAAAAACCTTTTCATATAAATAACAGTAGCACATTGTTTGGCAGAAAAGCATCCCATTTGTGCTGATATCTGGGATGTGGTGGAAAGATATTCTGGATGCAAGTGGTGCCACATCTATTGGGCTGAGCTCCCAAGAAGCAGGAAAGGCTCCTTCCTGACTGACTGATGGACGCTCTGTCCAGGCACCATCCATTCAGGGCCAAGGTGAGGACCTGGGCTCCTCCCAGTGGCACTGATCTTGCGAGGTAGCAGTGAGCAGTTATGTGAAGTGAGATCTTAATTCCCTGCAGAGGAATTGAACCTGGGTAACTTGGATGAGAGCCAGGAATCCTAGCCACCAGACTAGCAAGGGCTAGAGGCTGAAAGCTACTTTTTCATGGATCATTGCTTCCAGTGAAAAATGCATTTATCACAGAGGCAGAAACTGTAAATGCAGTTATAAAGTCTATTATTAGAAACATAGCACAACAAGTGGGAGATCACATAAAGAAATGGTTTGTTTAGTTGAGACAGAAGCAAGGTAGAGATGCACTCCTGGAGAGAAAGAGTGTGGATGTCACACCTGGTGAGCAGGAGCACAGTCAAGAGGCGGTAAAGTCATTTATATAAGGCAGTCCTTCTGGATTTTTGTCTTCCTTCAGACCAATTATCTGGTTTCATTTTCCACACTTGACCTATCCTGAGACACTTCCCTGTGTTCATACACACATCCCTCAGTCAAGATGGATCTCGAAGTGAAGGTTTCTATGAGGAGCAAGACTCATTATGGTCTGGCAGTATCCCTTGACTTTTGACCCACAAGAAGCCTTTTTTCACATGTCTGATGTCTCCTTTGTCCCAAAAGTTGGAGGAGTGGAGATCCCTTTATCCTTTACTCCAACAGGGTTTTGCCCCTCTTTGTCCTTACCATGACTGTTACCTTTAGGTATTTATAAGAGACAAACACTGGCTATTTACGCTGTCTCTATTGTTTTATTCATTTCAGAGAGCAAACAGGAGGCTGATTGTAAGTGCCTCAACTGTAGCAGACCTATTCTTTGTCACAGAGAATACTAACATTTCTAAGTATCCAGCCTGAAGCCCACTTCTTTATGCTCCATGAAACAGGAGGCCAGTTGAAAACGTCTAACTAGGAGTCCATCCATTCATACTCCTCTGCCTTGCTGTGTGATGCATAAATACTTTTATCATAATAGTAGTGGTAAATGCCTACTAGTTCTGTTCTGTTTATTCACTGTGACAAGAGGCTCTGACTTGCCAAAATAACCATCAGGGCACAGAAGCCTTGAGATATAGATTTGTGATTGAAACCAACACAAATACATGGGGGTCAAACTCCTGGAACTTCTGACAGGGGACAGGGATCACCCCTGCCCATGACTTCAACCTCCAAAGGCTAAGTGTCTGTGTCTAACTTGCATTTCATCCTGTAATTCACTTCTGGTGCCATTTCAGAGCACGGTGGTCATAGTAATTTTTATTTATTTATTTATTTTTATTTTTTTTTTTAATATAAACAGACAGTATCCACATAGTTTATTTCTCACAGTTCTCCTGACAAATGAACATTATTCAAGAACATACTGTATACACAGATAAGAAGAAACATACAAAATGTTTTAAATGATGCACAACAAAATCCAGCAGTATAAAAGAATGCATGTGAACTCTTGCTCACTGCACAGACTAAATTTAATCACTTGTTTAAATAGTAATAAAAATACAATCTTTTATGGATCTTGTGCAGACTACAAAAGAGGGAAATTATTATCATATATATGATTTTTATATTAGGCAGTTTTCTTCAATGAGTTGCACTGACAACTCCAAATACAGAGGCAGAAGGCTGTGTATTTTAAAGAAATTAATATTGTGAATTAGAGACTTTACACAGTTACTACCACTGGCACTTTTCACCATAGTTTGTACACATCACATGATCATCTTATATAACGTTACATTTAAAAAATATATCTGAGTGACAATTCTGTAACATTCACACACCAGGAGCTGGTTAAGGAAGCAACGCCGCAGCTGCCTCCCGTAGTGCTTCACTGTTGGTAATGAGGACGTTCACTCTGGTTAACAGAAGTTAGACATCAATATGGTTAAGCAGCTCCAATCTACTAAAGGCCATCGGGGCCACCACTGGGACAGTGAGTTCTTTTAAAGTGTATATATCCTAGATGCAAACACCATCATTGGTTAAAACTTTGTCTAAAGAAGTCAGTTTCTGTGCTGGAAACTATTTTCACAAAACTGAAAGCTACTAAACTGTTTTAATATAAATACTTTGTCTTCTCATTAGCATATTTATGACCAAGTCTCTGAAACCTTTGGAATTTACTCTCTTTAATATGTGCTCTCGTTTCCATTTCCCCCATTTACGATCACCACCTAAAAGGCTTTCAGGTGGTGGTGAGAATTTCACCAGGGAAACCCTTCGCTCACCAGGAATGTTCAGCTGCTGAACAGTGATCTAGAGCCACAACGGTGCAGAGCTGGACTTGACGAGAACACTCAGGAAGCTGTCATGCTGTGAGTGTCATTTCAGGGAAAGCAGAGAATCTTTCCAAACTGTGCACATAATTCACAATGATACCATTGCTATGTGTTGAAGAGGACTAGTGTATGATGTTCTCTTCCATGTCATCTGTTTGCTGGAAAGTAGTTTGGGTCAAGGTAATTATAACTGGTGCCCTGGGACACACAGTAGTCTCTGTCTAAGAATGTCTCTGACCGATAAACAGGTTCTAGTTGGTGATCTTCCTTGTGAATGTCTGTTTCATGAAGGCAGTCTGAACAAGAATCACAGAAATCCAAAGACATTTCCGGAGGACAATCCTGGCAATGCCACCGAACACCCTGGATAGGTTCTATGCCACAGTTATCACACTTGAATCCTACATGCTGCACAAATCCACTTTCAGCTTGCATTTGCTGAAGTTTTTGTTTTTTTAACTTTTTAAACTGTAATAGTTCCTTATATTCAGGTAAATTCCTATACATGATAGGAATACTTTCTTCATCTGATGCCTCCTCAACAGCAGTGTTCATATGGCTATGAAAACAGGATCGGTCATCATCTTCATCCATATACACTGGTGGTTCATGGGAAGTCATGAAAGTGGAAGGTTTAAAGAGATGCTTATTAAGGGGGTGTTGTCGTCTGCTTGTTGAAGACTTTTTGGAGTATATGTATAGGTTTGGTGTTCTGCCTGGGACTGGAATCCCAGCTTTAGTTAGTTTTATGAAATACTTCTGCACTCGGCTGGCAACCTGTTTTGCTGTCCTGTTGCCTAGTTCATCCGCTATCTTCTGCCAGCGTCGAGATTCTACTTCTTCAGGAGGGTATTTCAGGAGTAGTTGTTCAAGCTTTTTCTGTTCTTCAACGGTCCACAATTGGTTAAATGTTTCAGGTTTGGTATCATCACACAGGCGTCCTCTTATCATCTGAGGACGACTGTTTGAGCCTTCGGGACCATCACTCAAAGGCAACATAGAGTATGAAAGGGACTCTCCATCCTTCCTAGGATCTAAAGGACTTTTTGGTCTAGCAGGTAAACCTACTTTATCAAAAACTAGCTTTACTCTCCTAGTATGCCTTTTACGATTTTTAAATTCTCTTTCAAAGTTTCCAAGGCTATTGGTATATTGGTCCCATACAATCTCAGGTAACTGAACAACTCTCTGTGGATATGGAAGCCCTATATCAGCCTTCTTCTGGAGTTTTTCCACAAATCCAATGGGATTTTTTAGTGCTTCTCTCTGATGTCTGCCTAAACTTTCAAGGTCCTGGACTGCTTGGGAACGCTGAGCTTCGAGTACAGCAATTGTCTGTAACAGTCTCTGATAACATATTTACACATACTCTTTGTTGTGTTTCAGTGCCACATGATCTGATTCAAAGTAATAAACATCAGGATCATCATCTTCCTCTTCTGTAATGTGCGGATTGGCACTCTCTTTGGCAGATGGCAAATGTCCAATATTGAGTCTTGCCTCTGAGGATGGCTTACTTAGTCCTTCACTCCCATAATTTTCAGAGTCACAACATATGCCTTTTTCACTGTGAGAAACTTCACCAGGATTTGTGAGAGCCTCACTTATATTATCACTAACAGTTGCATTTGTTTCACTGGGATTGAGATTATTCTCCTCAAATTGTCCATTTTCTCTGCAAGGAGAATTGTTTTTAGTGGGACTACCTCTGGTAGGGGCTGCCCTTCGTGGTGAAGTTCTCAGAGTATACCGATGTTCTTGAGGTTCTGATAAAGACATCATTTGAGTCGAAACACAGTCTAGAACAGAAGATGGTTCTGGTTCTCCGGAGACTGGCATACTCTCAAGACTTGTGTCCAGGGCATTATTGGTGCTCTCATTACACTGCTCCTTTGAGGCACTGCTATCTCCCACCACATCTACTTCCTCCTCAGAATCCCTTAAAGATGAATGAATTTCAGAAAAGGGGCCTGTAGCTGGCTCAGTAGTCAGCTGATTAACATGTTCCACAGGCAGGCAGGCAGTTACTACTTTGTGGTCCTCCAACTTGACCTGCACTTCTGAATCTGTGCAAGGCACGTTATGGTTTATATAACCGTCTTCCTTCCTACTATCAAGGAACACTGAAGCGTGGGTATCCGAATCCCCATTTTCAGCTACTGATTTCTCCTGCAACACATAGGAACCAGTGCTATTTTGTTTAGTGTTCCCATCAGGCTGACAGTCATCACAGTTTATAACAGCTGAATCACTGTCATCAACACCATTGACAGCCAAATAGCCTGTGATTTCTTCAACTACTGTAGAATCAAGTGGCCCTTCCTCACTTACATTCACCTTTTTAATTTCCCTTTTCTCACAATCATCCAGTATAAGACATCGACAAGCTCGTTTAGTCCCTTGAAAATCTGCATCATTGTCCACTACTGTACTCCTCTGTTCTACTGACTCCTTGTCTGATTTTATAGGTGAATCTTCTTCTGAACTGTTTGGTGCTTCAGATCTAAGACAACGCTTAATTCTTTTTAAAACTGGTGAAACAGGTTCTGTTTGCCTTCTCTCACAATTTTCTACAGCCTGCCTTTCTATGTTATCTTTTTCTGAAGAAAGAAGTCCTCTTTTCCTAGGGCTTACCCATGACTCTCGAGTACTCTGCTGTTTTATATCAGTAGTTCTTCCATTATTATTTCCTTTCTGAATTTGCACAGGCTCTGGTCTCTTCTTTGGTGATCTTGATCGTACTTGAGAGTGAGAAGAGATTTCTTCAGGATGAGCAATGCTACGATCCCTTAAAGTTCTACCACAAAAAGATTCATCCAAGCCGTTTAACCCCACTGTTGATCTTGTAACACGAGTAGATCGGGAAGCAGCCATACTATGGCAAGTCCCTACAATACGGTCATCATGATCCACTCATTGGGAAACCTGTACAACCAAAGATCTATCATTGTGGAAATATTATCTCTTTTCCTTATATCCTGAAGGAGTTGAAGCTATGATCTAGAATAGAGCTTAAGCATCAGGGTTTCAGACTCTCAGCTTCAGCCATGGAGAATACTAGAACTTCCTAAATTCCTTTCTTTCTTTAAAGTGTTTCACCTAGTGTTTGATTTCCAAGCGTCTGCATTTATCTGTCATCACTGTTAATGTCCATCTTACATTGAGACTTCAGGAATTAATTATTTATATGGTTGAACTAGCACAACTTGATATCTTTCGTGCGGGGCTGGGCACCGCAGGCCACTCAGGGAGGCGCCGTCGCCGTGGCCGCTCTCCGCCCCCGCCACGGCACTGGCTCGGGTGGCCGCCGCTGCAGGAAGCTCAACAGCGGCGCCGGGGCGCTTCCAGTCATAGTAATTTTTAGAAAGCAGACATCAAAAAGGAAGACCCTGCAGAGATCAACCTAATCAAGGTGAGGGGGTCAGGCTGCTGTATCCTCCCCACATTGATCCCATGAGTAGTCTCTCACAACAAGCTGCCCCCAGGGAGGCAGCCCCTTCAGTGGAGGGCAATTCCGCAGAAGGCTTGTGCTCTGAGTCCTCATCCACCAACACTGGTGGCCTTGGGCAAAAGAGTGGGCTAGTCACAAAGAAGAGATCTGGGTGGCACCATAGCATCCACTATAATTCACCCCTCCCAACACTGGCATACACTTCCTTCATCTGAAGAGTTCACCTCACCTGAGGACAGCTCCTTGAGGATTCCTGTTGGTCTCCTCTCCTCCTAAAGAAGCTCAGAGAGAAAGACAGGAAAAATGGTGGGTCCTCACAGTTGCAGCAGCTGCTGCACCACAACTTATGATCACTCTCTCTTGCCCGAGATCTGTTCTAGATCCCTCGTACTCAGCCAGGACCTCGGCGATTTCCAGTGGCTTCCCTGGTGAGGTAATACAGACCTTGTCCCTCAGGGTTCTGAAGCCCTGGGCCTGATGCCCTTCTCAGACCCTTGCTCTTGGACATGTCAACTCACCAATAAAATGGGGCAGGAATCCAAGACGCATCACCTGGCTGTTAGAGATGTTTCCTTGCTGTTCCCACTGTGCCACAGTAACCCGCACACTCCTTAGGATCAAGGTCAACTCTGCCTGCTGGGATGGGGACAGTTTTCTGTGTGTGCTGGTCCCTAGAAGGAGGATTCCAAGTGCCCAGATGGGAACCAGGACTCATAGATCAGTAGGACTGCTATCGTGGCTCCTGGGGGAACCTTCTGGATTTGGGAACAGCCTGTCGTGTGTCACCATCGGCAAGAGGGTAACCAGTAGCCACACGAGGCTGGGAATTGTGAACTCAAATGGGCTTAGTGTGTCCCAAGGCCTGGCCTTCTACCATAATATAATGTGAAGTCAAATGCAAGTAGCTAGATGTGGCTAATGTGGATAGTCCTGTTGTGGAAGTATAGAACCTACTCTTGGGAGACCAGAAGTACAAGTTCCTTGTGGGTCATTGTGAGTGATGGTAAGTGGGGTCATGGGTCAGTGGGAGTGGTGATCAGTGGGGTCACTCTACCCTCTGGTTCAAAGACCATATATCTTACCTCGTGGGGGAACTAAGGATGACAGATGTGGAGTATGGACTCTCATATCCCACTGTGCACATCATGTATGCTTTGTAGAAGTCATTCCATTGCTCCAGAAGACCAGGAGCTTCTGGAAGGTGGGGACTGAGATAGCGACTTTGGAGCTCATGGCCACTTGCCCTCTGAGCCTCTGGCATCCTATTAGAGGTTCTCTTGATCCTGGGTGGTTTTGTGAAATATTCTGTGTCACTCAGTCCTGCATTCTGTGAGCCCTCAAATAGTGGCACCAGATAAGGCACTGCAAATGGAAAAGTGAAACTCACATCTAGAATGTGGACCTATCAATTTCAGCAAAGATAGACCTCTCCTCCTTCAAGGATGGAAGTGAGATACTAATGATATGGTGAGCTACTCACCATTAGTAGCTCAATGGTCTTCTTGAGGGATAGTATGACACTGAGGATTCAGCAGTAGTCTGTGATGAAAATAATATAATTTTATATAGAGAGATATATATGGAAATTAACATGTATAGAATTATATATTTATACACACACACACACACACACACACACACACACACACACACATATATATATATATATATATATATATATATATATATAGTATAGAAAGACAACCACAACAGGATGGGTAAGCTAGGCAGACTCATGGTATAGTCAAGAGCCGTACCCTGGATGGGCAATGCACAAACAGTAGGATAATCACCACTGCAGATGTTCTTCCCAGGAAGTGAGAGGTCCGAGCCCCACGTTGGGCACCTAGCCTGTAGGTCATGCACTGGGACAACATGCCCACAAAACATTTGGGTTTGAAGGGAAGCGGGTCTTACTCTTAAGAGAGCCAGACAGCTTTAGCAGCTAGAGACTCCACTCTTCAAGTACATACAGAAAATCTCACGCACTCCAAGACTCTGTGTAGATGCAGTAATTTGAAAGAGCCTGCGTGAGACCCACCTGATCATCTCTGAGAGCTCCTGGAGAGGCAGTAGGTAATTGGAGCTCACCCTGGGGCAGAGCTACTGGTGGCAGTCACTTGAGGGCACTCGTTCTACCAAAGGACATGGGTGCTGGCAAGTGCCATTTTGAAATCCTCCCTCTCACTTATTAGCAAGATGTCTTAGCACCACCAGGCAGCTTGTTGGCATCAGTACTTGGAAGACTCAGACCAAACAGATAGGTGAGCATGGCCACAGACCCACCCACCAGCACGCCAGTTGCATTAGGACCCTCACTGCACCAAACAGTGAGAAGGAAGCAACCCCAGGTCCACTGCATCCCTACAGCCTGCCATGTCAGGTCCAAGCCCACCCATTAGTGTGCCAGCAGCAGACCCGGGACCCCATTGGAGCTGGATTTCCAGAGGAGAAGGAGGAGACTTGATTCAGGGCACACTGGACCCTGAAACCAGCTGTGTCAGGAATGAGCTCCACACAACAGCAGGCTAACAGTATATCTGGGAACCCTTGGCCATGTAACCATCCACCCCAGAACACTGCTCCACCCACCAGTGGGCCGGCACTAGACCTGGGACCACCCAGGTCTCAGAAGTCAGACATCTCATGACCCAACCGGACCTACTGGTGATCATCAGTCTCTGCACAAGGCAAGGCCTGGCAACCAAGCAGACCAGGGGTCGGCCATGCCTACCAGGCTGCCCACACCAGTCAGCCTGCCTCAACAGAGGGGACCAAGCAGTCCCCATGAGGGCAACACTAGAGCATATATTTCTGGTGCTAAGAGGGCAGGGAACTTTTGGGATACATAGGTTGTCTCCTTCCAAAGACCACTACTCCAAGATCAAGAAATAAAACGAACCTGCCAAAGATATAGAAATAAAAATATCGAGTTAGGAAAAATGAGAGGACAGAATATGTTCCAATTGAAGGAATAAGATAAAACCCCAGGAGAAAAACTAAGTAAAATGGGGAAAACAATTTACCAAATAAAGAGTTCAAGGTAATGATCATAAAGTTGCTAAAAGAATTTGAGAGAAGAATAGATGTATATAGCGAGAAGTCACATAGTGAAAGTAGGCAAAACCAACAGACCATTCAGGTATGACCTAAATCAAATTTCTTACAATTATACAGTAGAAGTGACAAATAGATTCAACGGATTAGATCTGATAGACAGAGTGCTGAATGAACTATGAATGGAGGTTTGTGACATTTAGGAGGCAGTGACCAAGACCACCCCCAAGAAAAAGAAATGCAAAAAGGCAAAATGGTTGTCTGAGGAGGCCTTACAAATAGCTGAGAAAAGAAGCAAAAGGCAAAGGAGAAAAGAAAAGATACACCCATTTGAATGCAGAGTTCCAAAGAATAGCAAGGAGAGTGAAGAAAGCCTTCCTCAGTGATGAATGCCAGGAAATAGTGGAAAATAGTAGAATGGGAAAGACTAGAGATTTCTTCAAGAAAATTAGAGATACCAAGGGAGCATTTCAGGCAAAGTTGGGCCCGGTGAAGGACAAAAACAGTATGGACCCAACAGAAGCAGTAGAGATTAAGAAGAGGTGGCCAGAATACACAGAAGAACTATAGAAAAAAGATCTTCATGATCCAGATAACCACAATGGTGTGATCACTCATCCATAACCAGACATCCGGGAATGCAAAGCCAAGTGGGCCTTAGGAAGCATCACCATGAACAAAGCTAGTGGAGGTGATGGAATTCCAGTTGAGCTATTTCAATTCCTAAAAGATGACACTGTTGAAGTGCTGCACTCAATATGCCAGCAAATTTGGAAAACTCCACAGTGGCCACAGGACTGGAAAAAGTCAGTTTTCATTCCAATCCCAAAGAAAGGCAATGCCAAAGAATGCTCAAACCACCACATAATTGCACTCATCTCACACACTAGCAAAGGAATGCCCCAAATTTTCCAAGCCAGGCTCCAACAGTACGTGAACCGTGAACTTCCAGATGTTCAAGCTGAATTAAGAAAAGGCAGAGAACCAGAGATCAAATTGCCAAAGTCAGTTGGATCATTGAAAAATTACAAAAATTCCAGAAAAACATCTACTTCTGCTTTATTGACTACACTATAGCCTTTGACTGTGTGGATCACAACAAATCATGGAAAATTCTTCAAGAGATAGGAATACCAGACCACCTGAAATGCCTCCTGAGAAATCTGTATGCAGGTCAAGAAGCAACAGTTAGAACTGGACATGGAACAACAGACTGGTTCCAAACTGGGAAAGGAATATGTCAAGGCTGTATGTTGTCACCCTGCTTATTTAATTTACATGCAGAGTACATCATGAGAAATGCTGGACTGGATGAAGCACAAGCTGGAATCAAGATTGCCGGGAGAAATATTAATAACCTCAGATA